AGGTGGCTGAATTTTACGGAGACTTGCCACGGTCTCCAACCCTCCTCCTTTCTCATCCGGGCTTTGGACCAGCCGTGGCGGAGTTATTTACATATATTACAAAGACAAAATCTCATTAGACTGCATACCAGATTCCATCACGTCTAATCATTAATTAGGCCGTTTTATAACTAGCATTCGATAAATGAACTACTGTAACTGTTTTACTGTCATTAAAGATAGTAAACAGGCATTGAATATTATAAAACTGAAAGGGAACCCCTTCATCAGCATTTATACAATTGATATGGAAAGCCAGCACCTGGAATAAGAGCACATTAACTTCTTCCGTCCTTCGGACAAGGACCTGAAGTCATATCTCAATTCAAAATACTGAATATTATTTTGAAACGGAGCATGTCATTTCTCTCCAGCATCTTGGTTCTTTCTCAAACGGAAAAACCGGGTCTGCAGAGGGAGATTTGCCAAACACTATGAAGACTAAAAGAGTCCAGGATCAGAATTATAATACAATGCATGATATTACGGCGTTAACTAACAACCTGGAGAATTCTGACTTGTCACAGCGTTGACATGTTTTATGATATTTGGTTTCGTAGAATATAGGTTTAAGTATTACGTCTGCATCCAGGATGCGATCTTCATCTACAGGCGCAGATTTACTGTTCTCGTCGTCTAAAGCTCGAACGCCGGAATTACCCAACTTTAATATCTGGCCATTTAAAGCGATCCACTTGATTTATGTTGAAGAGCGCTCGTTGCTGTCACATATATCGATCTGTGTAAGAAAAAAATTTCTACGTTTTGCTCCTTATTTCTTCCAACGCGCCTTTAGTCGTTTCAGTTATTTTTTTTAAGTATTTTATTATACCAATTCAGCTGCCTGTTTCTGAGTGCTTGTAGCAATTTCCTACATTCTTTCACACCAATCAAAGCAATCCCCGATTTTCAAAGCCTCTAAATTTTCATGGACAAATTCATCATCAAAATAATATTGCAAAAAGGGTTTCTATCTCTTCTTTGCTGCTATGATGAGGCGAGCACTTCAAAAGATCTGTCTACTCCACTGATACTCGTCGTATGATGCTAGCATTTCGTGTAGAAAAAAGCGATTCTCCACATAATGAATGACTCTTATAAGACCAGATCTATGAGGTAGCATATGAGGACTGCTATTTCATGAAAAAGTGTTCGTCATAAGTGTGATTAGGGTGATTAGAGCACTGGTTTTTAACATTTACCGCCTCCTGCACCAACTTGGTTCTCAAAATATGTTCTTGCATTCTTTATCAAAAACTGTTGATTTGATTCAGTTCGTTGAGTGCAAAATA